GGGGGGGGGGGTGTCACTGTGAGCCGCAGTGAGTGCAGGTTCTTTTGGCCATTGGGTCCGTCCCGTTCACAGCGACCCTGCAGAGGACTTGAGAGCCTGTCCCTCTTGACGATGGCCTCATCGTTCTCTCGTTGAGCAGGGATTTGAACTGCTGACCTACCACTGAGCAGGGGCTCGTCAAAAGCCAGTTTGTACTCGTCCCCAGCTGTGAATTTCTGCCCAGCACACCACACCTCCCACCCTTCCCTGGAGGCTTTTGTGTTGCTGGGATGCGGGGCGGGGAGTGGGAAGAAGGGCCTGGCGGTTGGCTGCTAAAAAACAGCCACTGGAAAAGCCCATGATGCTCAGTCCCATGTGCAGTGCAGTGGGGGGGTGGGGGGGGGCAGGCCTCTGTGCTGGGCCCGGAGCTGCCTGTCCCTGGAGCTGAAGATAGCCGCAGGGCACGCAGTGTTTTCCGACAGCTGTAGCTTTTTCCAGGCTCCAGCTGTGTGTTGGGCCCCTGCCTTTGCCTCGGCCCCTCCCCTGTGCTGGCGGCCAGCTCTCTGACTTCCCTCAGGTGTCCCCAAAGATCTGGCAGGGCTCTGGGGCTGGCCACTCCCAGCCAGCTATTCCCCAGGATGGGCCCACACCCTTCTCTGAAGGGAGGGCTGGACTCGGGGGTCCACCCTACTGGTGCTGTGTCCTCCAGTCTGCAGTGAACCGGTATTCACCACCACCACCACCACCACCACCACCGGCCCACAGGGGTGGGGTGAACCGGTATTCCCCACCACCACCAGCCCACGGGCCCTAGAGCAACGAGATTATTCCCGTGAACGTGAGCAGGGCTGGCATGGTGGCTGCCGGAGGGCCCTGGATGTGAGCGTGGTAGGCAGCATGGGCAGGATCAGCTGCCATATCATAGGCTGGGTAGTGGACCAGCTGGACCAGGGGGCCACCGTGGCCTGTGAGACAGCAAGACGGAGGTGGGGGAGTCACAGGTGCCCAAGGCAGTGTCCGTTCCAGCCCGCTCATCTTACGGGATGTGGGGTCCCTGAGCCTCACCTGGCACATCTCTGCCAGGTACGCCCCACCCTGGGTCCACACCTGGGGCTGCTGCCCCCAGACTCTGGTGCCCTGGGCCTGAGTGTCCTGTCCTGGGAGTGGACTGCTGTCCCCAGTCTAGACAAATGCCGATAAACATTCTCATCCAGACACGCCCAGACACAGATAAGCATTCAGCATTCTCTCTCTCTCTCTCTCTTTCACAAACACACACACACTCTCTCTTTCTCTCCCTGTCTCTCTTACACACACACACCACCCCCACCCCCTGAGAAGCATCCCAATGCCAAGCAATAGCCCAGGAGAGCTGTTTGGGTAAAGGGACAAACCAAGTCCCAAGGGACAATGTCGGGGAGTCACAGGGTGGGGGTGGGGGACAAGGAGGCTCAGGGTATATCTTGCTTTCACCCCCTTCGTCACACCTGGACTGGGGGCAGGCTCCAGCAGGCTCGGAGGCTGTCCCCACACTGACACTGCACATCAGCTCTGTCCGTAGGCACAGCAGTGGCTACACAGGTCTCCTGGGCATCTGAGGGGCGGTGAAGCTGACTCTTGCCAGGGGCCCCCATCAGCAGGCCCATGGAGCATCAGAGTCCACAGCGAGCTAGGGGGCAAGGGCCCAGGTTTTAGGGGCTGGTTCTCCCTCCCCCGGCCCATAGGTATGTGGCAGGACCCAAGCCTGGCTCTCAGGTTAGGAATCAGGTCTCCCCTAGGCGGGTGACCTGGCTCAGGCCTGGCTTCCTCAGCACCAGGAAGGCAGGGAGGGCTGAGGAGGAGCCACTGCCAAGGTCCAAGTCCCGTGTGTCAGTCCAAGGGTCAGGCAATAATGAGCAAAGAGAAATTCCGGGTGAGGCAGGCAGAGCAAGGGCAGCCCTGTGGAGGGGTCCCCTGGCCTGGCCTCCTGTGTGGTGGCCATACCACCTCGGTCTAAGGCATCAGGGCCTGCTGCCCTCTCCTGTTGGCGGACGGCTGAGGACCACCACTGTCCTGCCTGCTCCGCTGAACTCTGCTTCCTGTTGCTGGGAATGTTCCAGCCCAGGGTGGCCCTCCGGCATTCGAAGTAGCAGTGGCGAGTGGCCTGGTAGGTGCTGGGGCTCGGAGCCTGCCCTGGGGGTCTGATCAGAGTGCAGGCACCACAGGGCAGGGCCGCCCCCAGCCTCCCTGGGCTGAGCTGAGCTGTCCCTGTTTCTCCTGCAGGGCGAGCTGGACGTGGAGAAGGGCTTGGAGATGAGAAAATGGGTCCTGTCGGGAATCCTGGCCAGTGAGGAGCTGTACCTGAACCACCTGGAGGCCCTGCTGCTGGTGAGGGGTGGGCCCGAGCACCCCACCTGCCTGATTGCCCCACCAGGGCCATGGAGACCGTGTGGAAGCTCCCTGCTCAATCGGGCTGCTCCAGGGGTGGGGGTGGGGGTGTTAAATAACAGCCATGCCTGCAGCTGTGGGCCTGGTGGCCCCTGGGGGAGACCCCGGCTGGATTCTCACCAAGGGCCCCTCAGGTGCTGTCAGTGGAGGCCGGTGTGTGGTTGCTCTGACGCTGAACGGGTTTCAGGGGGGCTTCCAGGCTAAGACTAAGGAGAAAGTCGTGGTGAACCAGGGAGGCCCTGTGGATTAGTGGGCAGGGCGTCCTTCTGTTGTGCGTAGGGTCACCATGGGCCAGCAACAGACTGGAGGACAGCTCACCGTAGTGATGCAGCATGCAGCTGAGGGATGCGCAATGCCTCACCTGGGCCCCCTTGCTTGTTCTCTCTCCACTCCACCCCCCCAACCTGACCACCTCACCTATGTTCTCTCACCTGGCTGCTTTACCTGTGTCCTCTCACCCGAACCCCTTCACCTGACGGTCTCGCTTGGGCTTTCTCACTTGGGCTACCCTTACCTGGACTCTCTCACCTGGGTCACTCTCACCTGGACGGCCCTCACCTGGGCTCCCTCTTCTAGTCGCCTTACTGGGGGCTCCCTCACCTGGACTCTCTCGCCTGTTCACCTCACCTGGACTCCTTTCCCTTGTATCCTTTCCCCTGGGCCTCTCTTCCCTGTCCTCCTCCCTTTGTCCCCTCACCTGGTCACCTCACCTGGACTCACACCTGTGCCCTCTTCCAGCCCATGAAACCCCTGAAGGCGGCGGCCACCACCTCCCAGCCGGTGCTGACGAGCCAGCAGATCGAGACCATCTTCTTTAAGGTGCCGGAGCTCCACGAGATCCACAGGGACTTCTACGACGGGCTCCTCCCGCGCGTGCAGCAGTGGGGCCACCAGCAGCGAGTGGGCGACCTCTTCCAGAAGTTGGTGAGGCAGCCCGCTTCTCACCCCACCAAGCCTCACTTGGGGTCCCAGACACCTCGCCGCCCGGCACTGACCCAAGGCGGGAGGGAGCCCCGAGAGGTCTTGGGACGGGGCTGGGGATGTGCTCAGGGCCCAGAGCTCTTGAGCACCTCTCTGCTCGGCTCAGGCCGCCCTCCGGGTGGCAGCCCTGGCTTGCTTTGTCTCTCCCATGACCTCACCTGGGCCTGGGTGTGTACCTGGTTAACCCTCGAGTCCACTCACCAAAAGGTTAGACGTTCAAAGCCACTCAGATGTCCCTCCTAAGAAAGGCCTGGCAATGGACTTTCAAAGGACCGCAGCCTTTGATTGCCCGCCCCCACGGCACATGGGGCCCACCAAGAGCCAGGCCTGCGGTGGTTTCAGGCGCCCAGCTGGGGCAGAGCTTGTCCAAAGGGGAGAATCGGCTCAGAGACCTGGGGGACGGAGAGGGGGGAGCTCTCGGCGGGAGCTGTCATGGCACTGTTCTCTGGTGACTGACAGGAGCCCCTCCTTCATACGCCTGTGTCAGGGAGCTGGTCAGGCCCCGGGGTGTGGCTGCCTCGGAATCTAGGTGCCAGGAGCAGCAGCTGCCCAGTCAGAGGCTGCCCCAGCCCTAGGAGTCCCCCAGGGGTGGGGGCTCCTGTAGGTTTCTGAGTGCTCATCATTACGGGAGCAGACTGCCTCATCTTTCTCCCAAGGAGAGGCTGGAGGCTTCAAACAGCTGACTTTCCAGTTGGTAGCCCAACACTTAGCCTGCTCACCACCCGGCTTGCTCCCATGAGTGAGGGAGCGAGCAGTGGAGTGAGTGAGCTGGTAGAGTGGGGTAAGCATCGGGCCGCTCACCACAAGGTCAGCAGTTCAAACCCACCAGCCGTTCCACAGGAGAAAGATGAGACTGTCTGTTCTCGTGAAGACTGACAGCCTCAATCATCCCAGGGAACAGGCCTGCCCGGCCCTGTCGTGTCACCATGAGCCACCCTTGACAATGGCAGTGGGGTTGGTTTCGGGGTTTTTTTGGCTCGAGGACCATCACTTGTGACCCTGGTGAGGACAGTTAGTGGAGCGGCGGGGCACCATCTCGTTCTCCTGGTCTGAAGGTGGATGAGGTTGTAGCTCACGTAGCCCCGTTTCGTCTGAGCATCTTGGTGACTTCAGTCTTGTGGGGATACTGTCTTGGGATGTGGGAGCCCAGATGGTGTCGTGGGCTAAACGCTGGGCTGCTAACCGCAGCGAGGGCCATTCAAACTCACTAGCTGCTCTGAACACCCCCTGCCTGTCCGTTTGTCGGACTGTGGTGGCTGGAGGGGAGGTCGCTGGTATTTCAGATGGCAGCAGGGTCACCCGGAGTGGGTGGGTCTCCGTGGAGAGTGAGCAGGTGTCAGAGGCCAGAAGACGACCCTCTCAGGTCGGAAGGTGCTCAAACCCTGACCGAGGACGAGCTGCCTTCTCAAAGTGGCCGCCGACCAGGGGTGATGTGCGCAGAGTAAAGCCCGTGGGAGAAAAGCCTTCGGGACCTTCGTTTGCCGATGGGGCACGACTCACATGAGAAGGAACAGCTGGAAGAAAAATCTAATCATTGGAACTTGGAGTGTACGAAGTATGAATCTAGGAATATCGAAAGTCGTCAGAAACGAAGGAGAACATGTAAAGATGGGTATCCTAGGTGTGAATGAGCTGACATGGACTGACATTTGACATGGACATTTTGAATCCGAAAATCATGTGGCTTACCGTGCGGGGAATGACATGATCAGGAGGAATGGCATTGTGGCATTGATCATCAGAAAGAACATTTCAAGATCTACCCGGAAGCACAGTGTTATCTGTGATAAGATTCTATCTATTTACATTCGGGGAAATCCAGTCAATTCAATGATTATTCAGATGTTTGCCCCGACCATTGAAGCTAGTGCCGAAGGAACTGAAGAATTCTACCAGTGCCTTCAATCTGAAATGGATCAAACGTGCAATCAAGATGCATCGATAGTTAGTGGCAACTGGGATCTGAAAGTTGGAAACACAGAAGGGAGAGTAGTTGGAAAATATGAACTTGGGGAGAGACACAAAGCCGGCGCTCCCATGATAGACCTCAGCAAGACCAGTGACTTGGTCATCGCCAATGCCTTTTCCCAACAACACACATGGCGACTGTACACATGGACTTCTCCAGACGGAATGCACAGAAACCGAATTCACTTCACCTGTGGGGAGAGGCGGCGGAGAAGCTCAATATCAGCACCTGACACAAGGCCGGCAGCGGACTAGGTAAGTTCAGGTGAAGCGGAAAAAAATTAAACCAGGTTCACGAGCGCCAGATACAACCTTGAGTCCATGCCACCTGAATTTCTAGAACGCCGCAAGAACAGATGGGATGCATTGAACACGAATGACAGAAGACATGAGAGCTGTGGGAGGGCACCAAGAACTTCATTAAGAACGCCAAAGGCCATCACGCTCCGAAGCAACAAAGCCCACATGGAAGAAGCACGCCAGCCTGTGCAACCACGAGGTGTCAAAGGGATCAGGTGTAAGGCATCATCAGAACAAAAAATCTTACCATAGTGAAGGATGGGGGGAGTGCGGAGTGGGGACCCAAAGCCCATTAGCAGGCCACTGGAGATCCCCTTGCAGAGGGGTCTAGGGGAGGAGGTGAGCCAGTCAGGGGGCGATGTAACAACGATGAGAAATACAACTTTCCTCTAGTTCCTAAATGTTTCCTCCCTGCTCCCACTACCATGACCCCAATTCGACCTTGCAAGTCTGGCTAGACCAGAGGATGTACACTGGTACAGATAGGAACTGAAAATATAGGGAATCTAGGGTGGATGAGCCCTACAGGACCAGTGGTGTGAGTGGCGATACTGGGAGGGTAGAGGGAGAGTGGGTAGGAAAGAGGGAACCAAGTACAAGGAACTATATGTGACCTCCTCCCTGGGGGACGGACAACCGAAAAGTGGGTGAAGGGAGACGTCGGACAGGGCAAGATATGACAAAATACCCATTTATAAACTATCAAGGGCTCATGAGGGAGGGGGAGCCAGGAAGGAAGGGGAAAAATGAGGACCTAATGTCGGGGGTTTAAGTGGAGAGAAAATGTTTTGAGAATGATGTACAGATGCGCTTTACACAATTGATGTGTGTATGGATTGGGATAACAGTTGTATGAGCCCCTAATAAAATGTTTTAAAAAAGAAAGAAAGTCAAAGGCCATGAAACAGACAGGAAGGAAAGAAAAGATGAGCGTGGGTGTCAAAAGAGACTCTGAAGCTACCTGACTCTTCATCGAAGAGTAGCTATGGCAAATGGAAGAAAGAATGAAGTTAAAGAGCGGAACAGAACATGTCAAAGGGCAGCTCGAGAAGATCAAGCCAAATGTGATCCTGACAAGGGCAAAAACCTAGAGTTAGAATTAGAAAACCAACCGGGAAGAGCACGCTCAGCATCTCTGAAACGGAAAGAACTCAAGGAAAAAGTCACGCCTCGGGTTGCAATCTTGGAAGATGTGATAGGCAAAATATTGAATGATGCGGGAAAAATCAAGATGGAAAGAACATACGGTCATTGTACCAAAATCCAGTTGCCATGCCACCATTTCAGGAGGTGGTGTGTGAGCAAGAACCAATGGTGCTGAAGGAAGAAATCCAAGCTGCGCCGAATGCATTAGCCAAAACCAAGGCTCCGGGAATTGGTGGGATCCCAACGGACATGTTTCAGCAAGCCGATGAAGCGCTGGAAGCACTTACTATGCCAGGACATTTGGAAGACAGCTACGTGACCAGCCGACTGGAAGAGATGCATATTTGTACACGTGCCAAAGAAAGGTGACCCAACGTCTGTGAACATTCCAGTGTCATTGAGATCACATGCTAGTAACATGTTTCAGAATTACCTTCCAACAACCGTTGTACCAGCGCATTGACAGGTAGCTTCCAGAGGGTCTGGCGAGATTCAGAAGAGGGCGTGGAACAAGGGATATGACGTCAGCTGGATCCTGGCTGGAAGATGTTTACTTGTGTGTTGACTTAATGCCAAGGCATTCGACTGTGCGGGTCATAAACTGTGGATAGCTTTGGGAAGAACGGGAATTCCAGAACCCTTCATCGTGCCCATGTGGAACCTGTACCTGGTTCAGGAGGCAGTTGTGCGAACAGAGCAAGGGACTGCTGCATGGTTTAAAACCGGGAAAGGAGTGCAGTGCGTCAGGGTCGTGTCCTCTCACCATACGGACTCAATCTGGATGCCGAGCCAATGATCAGAGAAGCCGGATTATATGAAGAAGAAGACGCATCCGGATTGGAGGAAGGCTTCTTAACCTGTGATGTGCAGGGGACACGCCTTGCTGGCTGACAGTGAGAACGTGGCGCACCTGCTGATGCCGATCAAGGATCGCAGCGGCCTTCCGTGTGGATCACAACTCCTTGTAAACAAGGCCCAAAACCTCACAACTGGGCCAAGGGGTGGTAACCTGAGAATGGAGGAGAAGTTGACCTTGTCAAGGATTCTTGTCTGCTTGTGTCCATGCTCATGGAAGCTGCAGTCAAGCGATCAAACGGCACAGCGCATCCGGGAACTCGGCTGCACGAGGCCTCCTTGCCGTGCTGGCAAGCAAGGGTGTCACTTTGCGGACTAAGTTGTGCCTGGCCCGAACCCTGGTACCTTCGGTCGCCTCCGGGGCAGGTGAAAGCTAAACGTTGGATAAGGAAGACCGAAGAAGAGTCTATGGGGTTTGAACGACGGTGCTAGCCAAGACTATTGAACGTGCCAAAAGGACAGACAGACGAAGTGCGGTCAGAATGCTTCTTGGAGGCAAAGGACGGGCAGGACTTCATCTCACATGCTTTGGACATGTTGTCAGGAGAGACCGGTCTCTGGAGAAAGGACATCGTGCTTAGTAAAACAGCAGGGCCCCCCAAAAGAAGAAGGCCCAGGTGACAAAATGAATTACTGTAAGAGCAATTGTGAGGATGCGGCAGGGCTGAGCTGGGTCTCATTCTCTTGTGCACGGGTAACTGTGAGTCAAAACCAACTTGGTGGCAGGTCATCCCAGCCACTGCCCTGAGGGAGGAAGAGGAGGCTGTCTGCTGCCATCAAAGAGGTACGGTTACAGAAACCCAAAGGCACAGAGATCTAGTCTGCCCTACGGGGTTGCTCTGAGTCTGGTAACACCGTGGGTTCAGTGTGGGGCTGCTCCCCCCAAGGTCGGCAGTTCCAACCCACCAGCTGCTCCTTGAGAGAGAGAGGCTCCTGTCTGCACCCTTGAAGACAGACGGCCTCGGAAGTGCTATTTTGGGTCACTCTGAGTCGGAATGGGTGGCAGTGGGGTTTAGTTGGTTTGGGGTTGCCGTGAGGCGGGATGAAGACCTCGCCTTGGGGGTGATGCATGCAGTGGGGTGCAAAGGCGTCCTCTCTTCCTGCAGCCCCAGGCCCCTGCAGACCCCGGGGGCCGGGGGTGCCAGGTGTGGGCAGAAGCAAAGCAAGGTTCGGGTTGCCCTGTGTGCGGTTTGAGACGTGGCTTCGACGCGGTGCAGGTGGTAGGACCTGTGAGCCCCTCCTGCCTTCAGCTCCCCCTCGGCCACACTGGGAGACCCCTAGCTCTGTCGCCTGGCCCTGGTCTCCCCATGACCTCCTCAACGGTGGACAGGGGTCCCAGAGGCGAGGGGGCCTGGCTGTGTAGCGAGTCTGCATGGACACCCGAGGTAGAAACACCTCTGGTGTGGTGACCCAGCACCTGTCAGAGTGAACCCCTGCCCGCTGCTGCAGCCCCTGGGACCAGACCGGCTGCAGGTGCCTGGTGGCCGTCCATCGAGCGTTTCCCTGGACTGGGTTGCGCGAGCTTATCTCCAGGCCTTTCTTCCTAGTTCATTAGAGTCAGAAGGCTCCGCCGCGGCCTGCTCAGTGTCCCAGCATGGCACAGCGGTAGTGGCTGGGAGTCTAGCCCATTCTCCTGGTGGAAGGCAGCCTCCCACTGCTGGGTTAGGAAACCTGCCGGGCGGGGGGACGGGGGTGGGGAGGGTGGGGGCCTGATACTGACAGCCTTGTCCTGGAGTTCTGCTGCTTGCTCCCAGCTGGTAGGTGGGCAGGAAGCTTAGCTTACCTGGCCGGGCATGAGTCACCCATCCTGTCATTTGGGTGGGAGAGGCATGCTGTGAGAGGGGAGGAGAGGGGAGGCAGGTGGGAGGGAGCCCCACGTGGGAGGGCTCCGCCTCCACACTGGAGGTCCCTGCAGGGCCGCTATGCATCTGACCCAGGGTTCTGGGGAGGTGACCCACCCACCCCTGCTCCAGCCTGTGCTGCCTGCCACCCTCCCCCTGCAGGCCAGCCAGCTGGGCGTGTACCGGGCCTTTGTGGACAACTACAGCATCGCCATGGAGACAGCGGAGAAGTGCTGCCAGGCCAACGCTCAGTTTGCAGAAATCTCCGAGGTAAGTGCCTGGCAGATGCTCCGCGCGCGCGCCCACGCACCCAGGGAATGAGAGAGCATGGATTCCAGGTCAGGGGCTGCCCCAGAAGTGCTCCTCACATGCGAGGGTACATGTGGCAGACACTGCCTGCAGGAGCCGCCCAGCACAGGGCCTGCCAGTGATCGCTCCCTGTCATGTGGAATGGCTGAGACCAGGCTGTGGGCCAAGCGTTGAGCCAGCAAGGTCAGTGGTTCAAACCCACCAGCCTCGCTCTGCTGGAGAAAGACAAGGCTGCCCGCTCCTGTGGAGACTGACCGCCTGGGAGATGCAACGTGGGCTCTCCACCAGGTGGCAATGGGGCGGTGAGGAGGGCAGGTGGCTCGGGGTGCAGCCAGAGGAATGACCCTCCTCCCCTCCCCTCCCTCTACCTGAGCTTGTGGAGCTGCGAGAGGGCAGGTGTGCACAGGCCAGGTCACCTGGGGTGCTATTTCCCTGCAGAGGTCACCTCCCCGCCTCCCCCCCCCCACACACACACACACAACAGAAATAAAGTCAAACCCATTATCTTTCATCTGTGGCACCACCGGGTGGGTGCAGAGCCAACAGCACTTAGGTGGTGGTTAGGTGCCTAGCAGCCCTGTGCCCAGCAGGCGAAGCCCTGTCCACGCTGCGCCATCCTCACAGCGGCCCTGAGGTTGGAGCCCCTTGATGTAGCCACTATGTCCCTCCTTCTGGTCGAAGGTCTTCCTCTCTCTCACTGCCCCTCTCCTTGACCAAGCATGACGTCCTCCTCCAGGGACTGGTCTCTCCTGACCACACGTCCAAAGTACGTGAGACCCGGTCTCACCGCCCTCGCTTGTTCCAAGACGGATTTCTCTGTCCCTTGGGCAGCGCGTGGTGCTCTCAGTATTCCTCACCAGCGTCGTAATCCAAGCCGTCCATTCCTCTCCGGTCTCCTTCCCCCTGTGGCCCGCTTTCACGCGCATGTGCGGAGACGGAACACACTGTGTCCGGGCTGGGGTGCCCCTTAGGCTCTACGGGAACACCCTTGCTTTTCAACACTCGAGCAAGGTCTTGTGGGGCACATGTACCCAGTGCACCGTGTGCATGGTTTCATCTCTTGGCTGCTGCTTCCACGATCATTGAGGGGGGCGCCACGCAGGACGAAATCCTTGACAAGGTCAGTCTTTTCTCTGTGTCATGATGCTACCACTGAGGTCGGTAACTCAAACCCCAAACCCACTGCCATCAAGTTCAAGTTCCAGCACAAAGCAGCCCTGCAAGGCAGACTAGAACCGCCCCCTAGAGCTTCCAAGGCTGTCAGTCTTTACAGGAGCATGCCGCCTCATCTTTCTCGGGAGGAGCGGCTGGTGGGTTTGAACCCCCTGACTGTAGCACTCACAGCATAACACCTAAACTCCCTGAGCTCTGAGGGCTTCTTTGACATCTCTAGCATCCTGGATTCCAGACTGGGTGCACCATCCTAATTGAGGGCCCTGGGGGAAAGGCTGCCCCAAGAGAGAGACAGAAATGAGGGGCCTGTAATGAGTCAGCCACTCGGGCCCAGATAGGACCTCAAGTGCACCCTCCAGACTTTATCATGGGAGGTGGCCATGTCAGCCGGCATCTTGCTTTCCCTGCTGGCACTGGCCTGTCCCCACGGCCACAGCTGCCCCGCCACTGCCAGCCCAACTCCTCCTCAGCACATTCAATTAACAGGCGCCCCGTCCCATCCCAGACAGCTGGGGCGTTGGTGTGGAATTCCAAGCAGCTGTGACCAATTAGAGCCCTAATCCTTTAAGAAGGGCTGCAGGTCAGTCAGGTCAAATTCAAGTCCATCTGGGATGACTTTCTACCCAGGAGGCAGAGGTCCGCGGTTGGGGGTGGGGAGGGATGTGTGGCCCACTGCCTGCCCGCGTTTGAGTGGGAGTCTGGGCTGGTGCTAGGATCTTCTGGAATGTGCTGGAATTCAAGGCCGTGAAGCGGCCTCCGTGAGTGTGTGGTGTTTGTATCGGGTGGCATTTCCACATTTCCAAGGAGGCTGGGAGGAATCGGCAAAGCTTCCAGAAGAGTAAGACCAGGAAGAGTAAGACCAGGAGTCGGGGATGGAGATGGGCTCTGATGTTAGTGTGTGTGTGTGTGTGTGTGTGAGAGAGGTGATAGGTAAGTAGGAGGATTGATTGATAGGTGATGACAGTTAAGTAGATAGGTAGATTTATGGATTGATCGATCGATTGATGGATTTGGGCGACAGTTTACAGAGCGAATCCATTTCCCACTCAGCAGTTCCTGCACCTGGTGTTTGAAGACATTGACCGCAGTCCCCACCTGGTCACAGCGCTCTCCTCCTGGGTCCTCGCTGGGTTTCCCGTTTGGAATCACCCTTCCCTCTTGCCCCTTCCCGCCCTCCCACCCTTCTCTCCAGCACATGCGCACATGCTGCCCTTTGCTGGAATGTTCTGAGCAGTGCACCCTCCCCAGGGTCACTGTCCCCATTACAGACTCGGGTCTGAGAGGTGGATGCAAGTGGAGCTGGGAGGGAAGTTCCGTTCCAGGCCTGAACAGCGTCTAAGTGCCCGAGTCTAGGGAGCCCCACCAGCCTCTCGGCCCAGGGAGCCTGGCCTTGCTTATGCTTCAGTTTTGCTCCACATTGTCCCCTCCTCTCTGCAGGCCTCCTGTTGTGCTCTCCTCCATACTGCTAGCCCCGTCGCCGGGCACCATCTAGTGCTCTGGTCTCCGGGATGTGGAGACTTGAGGCTCCTGTGGGCTTTTTCCCTTACCTCTGTCCTGATATCTGATCTTAGCTCTTCCTTCTTGAGGATTGTGGGATTCTTCCTGCCGCGGTGTGGCAAAGCTGTGCCATCACCTCTGATTAGTCCCACAGGTCCCATTTGCAGACTTGCACCCCTGACATTTGGTGGGAGACACAGAGGAGCCATACCCAGTCGTCCACGTCACTGCAAGTCCATCCAAGCCCAGACACCCCCAGGTGCCTTTCCACAGGCTGGCGTCCCTGTCTTGCATCTGCCCTAGCCAGGTGCCCCAACTCGGTGTCCTAAGACAAGAGAATTGTGGTCCCCCTCAGTTCTGTCTCCCTCAGTGACGGGGGCCAGGCTGCTGGGAGAGGGTCCTGCCTGCCTCCTCCAGGCCCTGGTGCCTGTGGCTTGTGGACGCTTCACAGCCCAGCCCCGTCTTCACGCGGCTCTTCTGTCTGTTCGGGCCTCCCTCTGGTCCTGCCAGCCCCTGGCCCCCGGGTTCATCTTGGCCTCATTGAACCTGAGTCCCTCTGCACTGAGAGGTCATCTGTTCGCATGGGTCATTCACGGGCAGCAGGAGGAGGTGGCAGGCAGTGTCAGAACGTCAACCTGTCCTTTTAGGGGACACTTGGCTCAGCGGAGCTCTGGTGGCGTGGGGGTCACATGTGGGTGGCTAACCCAAGGTCAGCCGTTGGAAACCACCAGCTGCTCCAAGGGAGAAAGACGGAGCTCGCTGTTCCCGGAAGAGTTCCCGTCTCGGAAACCCACCCGGGGCAGTTCCTCTCTGCCCTATCATGTCCTGTGTCCCGTGAGTTAGAGCTGATTCCGTGTCAGTGAGTTTGGTTTGGGGGGGTCAGTGGGAGGAGGAGAAGGCCCCCCACCGTGGCTGCCGGGGTGGGCTCAGGGAGACTTGTGGGTCGGCACAGGACCGGGCATGTTTGGTTCTGTTGTGTGTATGGGTCAGAACCAACTCCGTGACACCCAACAAGAACTAGAGGGCATCATCCAGAGACCGAAGCGGGCGTGGCGATGCTCTTCCGAGAGGCAGCCAATCGAAGTCCCGCGGCCCGGTTGAGCATGACCCCAGTATGCCACCCGGGCCAATTGAACATCAAATTTTCAAAAAGGAAGTGGGGGCAGGGTGCCGGTCTCCAGAGTTGAATGAGTCTGGAGGGGTGAGGGGTCAGACAGCTTGCACATGGGCCTGGGGGTGGGACGTGGGCTGTGCTCTGGCCAGGCGACAGCAGCATCTGCCTATGGGGTCTGCTCGGGGGCACCACCCCCACATCTTTGGGCCCCACCGAGTCAGACTCGTTGGGAGCGCTCTGGGCGGTGGGGAGGAATCGATGTGGCAGAGGCCAGCCCGGGCATCGGAACGGCATGGAGGACAGGCTCTTGGAGGCAGGGGCCACCCTGAGGGGGTCGACCTCACAGCCCGGGCCTCGCGGGATCAAACACAGTGCAGCTCCACTGAGGGCCCTCTCCCCAACCTCACTCTTGGTGCCTCGGACCAAACCTGCATTACCCCTCGGTTACCCCCACCCCACGGTCTGCCCTGGTCCTGGCCAGAGAGGGAGCAGCAGCCAGCATTGGCTCCGTGGGGCAGGCCCTGCCTGGCTTGGAGGGACCTGCTGCTTGCCTCTCCCTGGCAGGCCCAGGAAGGGCCTAGGTGGCGTGGCAGGGTAAGCACTGACTGCTGACCTCGATCGAGGCTGGCTGTTCCAGATGCCCGGCTCCCCGAGGGAGAATGGTGAGGCGCTCTGCCCCTGTAAGATTGGCCGCTTTGGAAACCCACAGTGGCCGTTCCGCCCTGTCCTGCAGGGTCACTGTGAGTCGGAATAGACTGCTCAAACTGCGCTTCAGTTGGGGCAGGGGGTGGGGGCGCGCTAAGGGTTCCTGATCTCCCCACTGTGTCAGGGCCGCTTCTGTGATCCCGACGAGGCGTGGGCTGGCACAGAAACCCACTGCCATCCAGATTGTCCACGCTCACCGTGACTAGCGGACCGAGCAGGCCTTCCCCTGGCGGGTGTCCAAAGCTGTACATCTGCCACGCAAGCAGGGAGCCTCCTCTTTCTCTCGTGGAGCGGCTGCGGAGCTCAAACCACTGACCTTGCCGTTAGCAGCCCACCGGTAACCACTGTGCCCGGGGCTCCTGAGGACAGACGTGCTTTTTCTCTCTGTAGAATCTGAGAGCCAGGAGCAGCAAGGACTCCAAGGACCAGACGACCAAGAACTCTCTGGAAAGTGAGTCCCGGTGCTGGGGGGTCGACGGGGGCAGCGGGGGCAGCAGAACCTGCCTGTGGCCCCTGATGACCAGGGAGAAGAGGCCATGCGGCCAGCTCTCGTGGCCAGGCGTGGGCTTGCTGGGCTGACGGTGGCATCGTGGCCTTCCCAGGAGCCTTGAAGGCGGACAGTGTTCCTGTCCCCGATTTCACATGGTGGCCTGGGAGTCAGTCTTGAAGTGACCCCAGATCGGGGTGGCCAGCTGGGCAGGGTCAGCACCCTTGCACCGGCAGCAGGTAACCTCCCCCACAGAGCAGAAAGCTCTGCTTAGGTGAGCAGAGACGTTCGTGCCAACAGGGACAGTGTGACCAGCTCCGTGTGCGCCCAGGGGACAGGCACAAGCTGGCCTTGGGTTCCACCCCCCACCGTGAGGCGGGCATGGCAACTGTATTTGTCTGGGAAAGGGCACGTGGCACTGTGCCCGTGCTGGGGGAGTGCTCAGGCCTGGCTGGCCGGCCCCCGCCTCACCAGGGAGCAGGCTCCACAGACAACCAGCCCCTGCTCAGGCTCCTGCTGTCAGAATCACATGGCCACTTGTCCACAGCTCAGAACTGGGAGCAGTGAGCAGTGGCTGGCCTGCTCCCTGGGCCACTCACCCTGGACGTAGAGCCAGTCCCTGCCAGGGTTGCCATCCCCGTCATCCCATGTGGGCACCTCTGGGGTCCAAGGCCGCCATTGAGAGAAGGGCCCGCGCTGACTCCTGGCAGCCCCAAAGCTGCGTTTCCGCCATGCCCTGCACGCGGGGGTGGCTGCAAGTCGGGGTGTGCAGCCCCCTCACAGCTGCCATCTCTCCACAGCCCTGCTCTACAAGCCCGTGGACCGGGTGACCCGTAGCACGCTCGTCCTGCACGTAAGTCACAGCCCCTGAGGGTCCAGTGCTGCCCGAGCCCCTGTCACCAAGGGCTACCACTGACACTCCCCTTGGTCTCTGCCCACCACAAACTCGGGCCTTGGAGCTGGCCTAGGGGATATGCACAGTATCCCCAGTGCCCCCTAGTCACCTACAGAGCAGCCACTGGCAGAGAGGAGTGTGCTGGAGGCAGGTGTCCTGGTCTGTGTGGACACAGGCTTTCTAGGTGGACGGGACACGGGGCAGGTGCAGTCAGGGAGGGGAACAGCTAGTACAGTCCTTGCTTCCAATGTAGGGGACTCGGGTTCATGTCCACAGGTATGCAGCCACCTCTGTCGGTCTGTGCGGACTCCGAGGTGGCCATGATGCTGAAGCAGAGCCTCCAGGGTCAGATTAGGAAGAAAGACCTGGCTGTCTCTAGGTTCTGTCCTGTTGTGCCCAGGGTGGCCATGAGCATGGGGAAACCGTAGACCCTCATGGCCCTGGGGGTCTTGGCATGCTGCCAGGGCCTCCTCTCCAGCCCAGGTGCCCTGTCGGCAGCAGTGCTGAGCGCACCCCGGGCAACCTGGGTCCCACCGTGTGTGGCTGTGGGTGCAGGCAGCTCTGGCCCACGCACTTCTCTCTCTGACTTGACTCACTCCTCCCGGGGGCAGGATCTGCTGAAGCACACGCCACCCAGCCACCCCGACCACCCGCTGCTGCAGGATGCCCTCCGGATCTCTCAGAACTTCCTGTCCAGCATCAACGAGGAGATAACGCCCCGCCGACAGTCCATGACCGTCAAGAAGGGCGAGGTGAGTCGTTCGGGGCTCTCTAGAGAAGAGAGCCGGGACCCTCACAGCAAGAGGGGTTTCCATCAAGGAAGTGGCTCAGGCGGTTGTAGAGGCGGGCAGGTTCCAAGTGAGGGTCAGATGGCTCATGTGGCTGCAGTGGTCTGTGAGCCCAGATGTGGCAGGTGAGGCTGTAGGCTTCTGTTGTTCAGATCCTGGAACTCATGGCTGGCGGGGAAGGTGGCAGCCTGCAGATGGCTCTGAGGACACACCGGCACTACAGCAGGCTGCTGGCTCAAGTCCAGGCAACCCGAGGTGGCAGGGAGAAGCCCCCGGGGCCTGCAAACCTGTCCCAGAGGGGCCACTGTCCACTCCACCTGCAGGGGCTGGGGCAACACCTGGACGTGTTGAAGGACTTCAGACAGATGGGGGCATCTCGGGGGTGTCAGGGAGGCCATGCTGGTGACGGGGCCTGGAGGTTTCTGGTTTCCACTCCTCCCTGTGTCCCCTGCCTACCACACCCCCCTAGTAGGAGGAACGGGCTTAGAGCCTGGTGTGGGTGCCCTCTGCTGGTGATTACAGGAAGTGCAGCCCTGCGTGTGGAACAAGGGGTGCTGGGCTGCTGTCCTTATTAAGGTGGGAGGGCGTGGTGTCTGACAACACCCCCCCCCTCCCCGCCCCAGGGCCTCAGTGACCAGGCTGCTCAGACCTGGTCACCTCTGTGCAGCCCCCCATGCTTGTTAAACTGAGGGGTGCCAGTGGGTTCCTCTCCCCCTAGGGCCGGGGAGGGGGGTTCTCCAGGAGGCTGGCTCCCTGACCCCCGCCCCTGTCCTGTGCCTGCAGCACCGGCAGCTGCTGAAGGACAGCTTCATGGTGGAGCTGGTGGAGGGGGCACGCAAGCTGCGCCACGTCTTCCTGTTCACTGACCTGCTGCTCTGTGCCAAGCTCAAGAAACAGGGTGGAGGGTGAGTGTGTGTGGACTCTGGGGGTTCAAGGACACCCAGTTCACTTTGTACATGGAGATAAGGAACAGTGTGAGTCCCGCCCCCGGGCCAGGTCAATAATCTGTGTCATCAGACTCCTCATAGCCCTCTGGGGCGCCATCTCTGACCCCAGCCCCCACTCAAACCCCCAGCCCCACTCCCCCTCCTCCCCACCCTGGCAGCTGGGTCTCAGCCTTCAGGTTCTAGGGACAACGTCCATCCCGCTTCCTGAACAGGCAGGTGCCACCTGTGGGCTGGGGAGGTCCAAGGGCCATCCAACCTGCAGATTCGGGGCTGGTTTCCCACCGCCTCTTCAGGAAGCCAGCCACACGCTTTGGGTTCATGCCACACACCCCTCTGACCTGCTGGGCCCGGCCATCGGCTGGAAGACTCGGGGAGCTCACAGAGAGCATGACATCATAGCCACAGCTCGAACCTGGAGCAAGCGTGTCACTTTGAGGACCCAGGTGCTCCTGATCCCAGCCGGGGCGTCTTCAGCCGCCGCGTGGTCCTGTGAAAGCTGGACCATGAATACGAGCTTGGGGAAGCGCTGCAGCATCCGAGTCAGGGCGCTGATGGAGACTCGGGACAGCCCCGCGGACTGCTGGGAACAAACGAGCCCATCGTAGAAGCAGCGCAGCCAGAGTGCGCCTTAGAGGCCAGGTTGGCAACACTTGTCCCACGTTTCGTCCCACGTACTCTGGGCACTGTCAGGAGACACCCGTCCCTGGGGACGGACATCCTACTTGGTCAAGTGGAGGCGTAGCGACAGAGGAAGGCCCTTGAGGAGATGTCATGGCTCACACCTAACAACCGTGGTGCCGATGGGGCAGGACCCGCCATGTTTCCTTCTACTTGTGGTGTTTGGGGTGCTGGGAGCTGGCACTGACTCCGTGGCACCCACAGCAGCAGTGAGGTGCAGGAGGGCTCCACGCAGTCCTGGGTTTGACGGCCAGGTAAGCGAGGCATCAAGGGAGCCCGGTGGCACAGTGCTTCTGTGTCGGGCTCCTAACTGTAAGGTCAACAGCCCGAAACCACCAGCCTCTTCTTGGGAGAAAACTTTCTGCGACCACTAAGAAGTACAGCCCTGGAAACCCACAGGAGTCAGCGTCGACTCCAGTCGAGGGCAGGGAGTTTGAGTCTGGAAGCCGGGCATGAAGTCCCTGGGCTGGCGGTGTGAGTGCTTTGCTTCCGCTGCTAGGCTGAAGGTTGGCGTTTCAGACCCACCCGGCTATACCGCAGAAGAAAGGCCCGGCCGGTCTAGTTCCCATGGCGATGGTGCCTGGAATGCCCCCGAACAATCCTCCATCCCCCACGGAAGCACCATGGCTACAGTCCCCTCGGCCGCTGGGTGGGTGGGGGTGGTCTTGCTTTTGAACTGTGCACCGTGGCGGGCTGTGGGAGCAGAGCGGTGGGCACAGAAAGGTGGCTGGCGTGACCCCCACCCCCTCCCAGCAGCAAAACCCAGCACTATGACTGCAAGTGGTACATCCCCCTGACGGACCTGAGCTTCCAGACCGTGGATGAGTCAGAGGCGGCGCCCAGCATCCCCCGGGTCCCTGACGAGGAGCTGGACACCATCAAGATCAAGATCTCGCAGATCAGGAGCGACATCCAGCGAGAGAAGGTACAGGCGTGCCGGGCCCGGTGCCGGCAGCCCCGCTGGGGCCGCAGAGACACCATAGGAGTAAGGGACCAGAGGGTCGGGCACAGCCCCTGACGACGACCCTGATGGATAGGCCACCCGCCCGTGAGGGCTGCCCCCTCAGTGATCTCGGCAGAGATGGTAAAGGGACTGCCAACCTGGAGGTCAGTGATTTGATCCCAGCTGCGGCTCCCTGGGAGAGAGAGGAGGCCAGCTGCTCCCCCGAAGGTTCACGCCCTTGACCTGACAGGCTGCTCTCCTCCACGGCCCTGATGAGTCGAATCGACTCGACGGTGGTGGGTTTGGGTCAAGCATTGAGCTGCTGTCCCGAAGGTCAGCAGTTCCACCTGCCAGCCCCTGCGTGGTCGGCAGATGCGGCGGTCTGACTCCACGTGGACCCACAGCCCCCAAACCCTCGGACAGTTGTGCTCAGTCCAACGGGCGCACGGAGTCGGGATCTGTCTGAGGACAGTGAGTTTATCGCAGGTCGGCGATACCCCCTTAAAGCTGTTTGAGGCGCTCTAGTGGCACACTGGGTTAAGTGCTAGGGTGGGCTGCTAACCAGAAGTTCAGAGGGTTCAAACCCACCAGCCGCTCCTCTGGACAAAGCTGAGGCTGCCTGCCCCCATAAAGACCAATAGCCTGGAAAACCCTAAGGAGCAGTTCTGCAGCGACGGTAGGTGTAGAAACAGTCGGGGTGAGCCCTGGGTCCAAAGATACCAACCAGGGAGCACAGGCCAGGTGGGCCTTGCCTGGGGGCACCTCCCAACCCAGCCCCTGCCCAGAATGTTAGACAGAGTGGGGCGTCTGTATAACCAGACTCACTCTCTCGCCGCCATCAAACTAATGCCTATCACGGCGACCCTGTAGGACAGGGTAGAACTGCCCCTGTGAGTTTCGGAGACTGTAACTCTTTGCGGGAGTAGAGAGCCCTGTCTTTCTCCCTCAGAGCAGTGTTGGTTTTGAACTGCTGACCCTGTGGTTAGCAGCCCAATGTGTAACCACTAGCCCACCACGGCTCCTTCTAACTGGACCAGGGACCCCAGGCGCAGAGTGAACTTGGGCTTGTTCACGCCTCCGTCTGAAACCACCCTGAACCATTAGGCCTACTGTGCACGCTGTGCCTCAGGTCGCGGGCATGGTGGGCGGCCAGCTTCCTGCCACTGCCGAGCTCATCTGTATCAGGCCCTTTGGTCCTGGTGTTGGAGACAAGCCCACTTGGTGGCCAACCACACGGTCCTCTTCCCAGCATGCAGCGGGGGAGCCTGCTGTCCAGGTGCCAGGGATGATCCAGCTCAGGCTGGGCATCCCTTAGGGAGGCTGTCAGGCAGCTCCAGGCCCCAGCGGTCCCCTAGTGTGGTCAGAATAATGGAACCCGGGCTAGGCGAGCAGTGTGTGCCCACCCAGAGGGTCCTCTGAAGAGAGGCCTGGTAGAAGCGGCCATGGGCACCTGGAAGACTTGACAGCCGGGGTTGCGATTTGTGGCTGCACCGCACGCCCTGCAGGCTGGGCATCTGCGGGAGGAGAGGCGAGTGGCAACAGGCTCCCTGCCCCCACCCCCAAGGGGAGCCTAACCTCCCGTCCCCACCAACCCCCCCTCCCTGCAGCGAGCCAACAAGGGCAGCAAAGCCATGGAGAGGCTGAGGAAGAAGCTGTCTGAGCAGGAGTCGCTGCTGTTGCTCATGTCACCCAACATGGCCTTCAGGGTGCACAGTCGGCACGGCAAGGTGAGCACCATGCAGCATGTGCTTGCGTGTCTGTGGGTGTGTCTGGTGTCTGTGTGTGACACGTATGTGTGTCTGTGTGGCATGTGTATGTACAGGAGTCTGTGTGTGTTTAGGTGTCTGTGTGGGTACGAGTGTGTGTGTGTGTGTTCCCTGTGTGTATGTGTGTGTGTGTGGTGGGGCCGCTTGTCCCCTCCCCTGGGGTGGGTGATGAACCCCCCCTGTGCCCCCACCTACAGAGCTACACCTTCCTCATCTCGTCCGACTATGAGCGTGCCGAGTGGAGGGAGAACATCCGGGAACAGCAGAAGAAATGTGAGTGCTGGCCGGACCTCGACTGGCCTGCATTTGGTGTCCGGTGGGACCCCTCACTCCCGCAGGATCTAGCATGGAGACTGCCCTCAGACGGGTGGGGGGGGGGAGGCTGCTGTCATCCTAGACCCCATGGGCCACTCTCGGTCTTCCAAGACCCCTCTGTTCTGGGGCTCCAGGACACAGCACACTCCCCTCCCTGTGCTGCACAGCCCCCTCGCTCCCCCTACCCCTGTCCACTCAGCTGAGCTCCCTTCTCTGTCCTTGGCCCACTCAGCATCTCCTCACTGATTCTGTAGAGATGCGCCAGGATGAGGGGGCAGACCCCGACCCCTGTCTATAGACAGATCTGAGGGTGGTACAGAGGTCCCTGGGTCCACATCTGTGCAATGATAGAGAACAGGTGGACCTGCCTCCCTGTTGCCCTCCAAGGGTGGCCTGTCTGAGCCCTCTGCCCTGTGAAGCCGCATGCATCCGTGGTTTGCAGGCCACTGTGCACAGTGCACGGACACTAGGCCGGCCACTGCCCCTGGCCTGGGCTCCCTCGGGACACGGGCAGTCAGTATTGCTCAGACGCAGGGCCTGCTCCCTGCAGTATGGCGGCCGGAGCCCCAGCCCTGCCTGCCATCTGTCTACCCAGGTTCTGTCACAGCGAGGGCTCCCAGGGCCCTGGCCAAGCCCTTGCCTTTTTCGATAGAGGTGCAGTGGTTCATGTGTGGGGCTGCTCACTGCTAGGTCAACAGTTCAAACCCCACCGTCGCTCCAGAGGAGGAAGATGAGGCAGTCAGCTCCCCCCGTAATGATCCAATCCCCAAAACCCAAAGGAGCAGCTCCATTCTGTCCTTGAGGCTTGTTGGGCATTGGAATCAGCCCAGAGGCAATGGGTTTGGTTTGGGTTTTGACTCCCTGATGGAATAGGAGGCCCACGTGGGCAGGGCATGCCCAGAGCTGCCTCTCCTACAAAACCTCCGAGGCCAGCAGGGCCGCGGGAAGGCCTGCTATGCCTGGCCAGGCCTTGCACTGCAGGGACCTGGAGCTCAAGGGTGGGGAGGGTTCCGGACTGTGTGTCTCTGTGTCCACCCTCAGGCTTCAAAAGCTTCTCGCTGACCTCGGTGGAGCTGCAGATGCTGACCAACTCCTGCGTCAAGCTGCAGACTGTCCACAACATTCCACTGACCATCAACAAGGAAGGTGGGTGGTCTCCCTGCGGGCAGGTGGGGACCTCTCAGGACTGGGGGTGCATGCTGCCCACTCACCTCACCAGGCCAGCGACAGAGAGCTTTTGCCGAGAGCCAGCACTGGACGTGAGGTCAGGCACAGGCTCTGGTCACTACGATCCCAGTCCTGAGACTTGCAAGCCTACTCAGCCCCTCAGACTGCTGCCCCTGCTCCTGCCTCAGCTGGCCCCCAGCCCCCTGTCCAAGAGACTTGTCCAGCTCCACGGCTTCACACAGGCCGAAGGTCACTGTCATTCACAGGCATCTACTCCCAGACACACACATACACACGTATATTCAGTATGTGCAGGTATATACTTGAACACATATGCACACACACACCAAGCTCACACACGGGTATGTGCTTATATACACATACATACTCAGTATACACAGGTATACCTTGTATACACATCCTCCCAGCACACACATGTGTGCACAGGTGTATGCTTATGAATACATATACACACACTCCAGCACACACAGGTATAGGCTGGTACATGGATTTGCTCACGCACACCCTGGTCTACATGGTGCACACACACACTTACATACCGTCCGTGCCCCACTGTCACGCCTGCCCCTCTCCTGCCTTTAGGGGCTCATTGCACTTCATCTTGACCACCCATTTGTCTGTGAGTATCCCCGGCTGGATCTTCCACCACCCCCAACAGACTCTGCTGGCTCCGTTTGGATCCACGGACTTGCCTTGCCCGGCGCTGGACCCTTTGCTGGACTTGGGAGCAAAGCCAGTGGTTCCCCCGCCATCCTCACCTCTCTGATTTCTCACAGATGATGAGTCGCCGGGGCTCTATGGCTTCCTGAATGTCATCGTTCACTCGGCCACTGGATTTAAGCAGAGCTCCAGTAAGCAGCTGGTGGCCAGGGGTGGGGGGAAACGAGGGGTCCTGTGAACCAGACACACTGGTGCTCGGATTCCCGAGGGAGCCTTGGACCCCCACTGGCTGTGGGATAGTCTTTCCAGAGTGGACACTGTCCGTTCCAACGCCGGGTTTGGTCCCTGCAAGCTGGGCCGGCTGCCCCCTGCAGGTGGGCCTCATAATCGCAGGGCAGCTGGTAGAGAAATGAAACTGGCTGCCAGCTCAGAGGCAGGGCAGACCCGCGGCTGTCGGAGAGAGCAAGGCTCTGCAGGGCTCCCGTGCTGCTCGGGTTGGGGCTGCCACGTGCCACCGGGTCCTTCCGACTCAGAGCAGCCCCGTAGGACAGAGCAGAGCTGACCCCCAATCCGGGGTTTCCGAGGTGGTCGGTCGGTCTTCACAGGAGCAGACAGCCTCGTCTTTCTCTCTCAGAGTGAGGGGTGGATTGGAACCTAGGACCTTTGGGTTAACAGCCCAGTGCTTAACCGCTGGGTGTCTGCTCAGTTCCAGGCCTCCTGTCCCAAGGCCAAGGCAGCCTGGCCGTGGGACCCTTCTGTTATTGCTGGTCCCCCTTTGTGCCCAGTGTCCCCCGCAAGCCTGGCCGCATAGCCTGCTCCCAGACGTGTGCAGGCTCTTTTGCTGGTTGTTCCCCTCCTAGAGTTCGAAGTAGCCCCTGCCTCGTCCCTCAAGCAGACTCGAACACGGGGCATCCTCTCACCCGCCCCTCTTGCCCGCCCGCCGCCCACAGGTCTGTACTGCACGCTGGAGGTGGACTCCTTCGGCTACTTCGTGAACAAAGCCAAGACCCGAGTCTACAGGGACACGGCTGAGCCAAACTGGAACGAGGTGAGGGCACACTGGCCGCAAGGGGACATTGCTGTGGGAGCCGGGGCCCCGTCCACGGGACCTGTACCACAGTGATGACTCTTCCCCACAAACAAGCCACCGCATCTACAAGCCTACGCGTCCCATGTGCCTCCTTGGTTTTCTGTGGGGCCTCCCTGAGACGTGAAGGGAGCATGCTGTGGCCCTCTCTGTGCCTGGAGGCTTGCCCGCTGGGAGCTGGGTGTGGGGAGGATGACAGGGCTGGCCGCTACCCAGCCCCAGGCCCTTGGTGTGTGGGGGGGAGGGATGACAGGTGTGATCCCCTGCCCACCAGGTGTGTGGAGTATGACAGGTGGCCTTGCTATGCACCCACATTCCCCAGGGTGGGCCTAAGTGTCCCTGGCCAGTCTCCCTCCGACCCTCTCCCACCTCAGTTCGGGTGGAGCTGAAGGTCCGCTTGCAGGGGCCGCCCTCTGAGGAGCTGATGTTTGGGGGCTGGGGAGGGCCTCCCGGGGCAGCAGGGCGGGTTCCCTGCCTGACCCGGGCCCGTCCTGTCCTGTCCGTCGTCGGGGCCGCAGGAGTTTGAGATCGATCTCGAGGGCTCGCAGACCCTGCGCATCCTGTGCTACGAGAAGTGCTACCACCGGGCCAAGCTGGCTAAGGAAGATGGCGAGAGCACGGACCGGATTATGGGGAAGGGCCAGGTCCAGGTGAGACGCTCCCACCTGTGCTCTGTCCCCCTCTGACACGCTAAGACACACAGCCGAGTTTCAGAGGGGCCTAGGCTTCACAAGCCCTCTCCTGTCACAGATCCTCCTCCTGCAGGTCCCCAGCCGGTGCCTCCGTTTCCCCCAGACCCTGGGAGACATGGTAGTGCCTGATAGGACTAGTTATTCCTCCCCACTTCCTGTCCCGGAGGCCACCCACTTGTGCCCCCAGGTCCCAGAAACTGGGCGGCACAGCTGTTTCCCAGGGTGGGTGCCAAATGCTCTATCCTCAGAGGGCTGAGCGCCCATGAGGGAGAGGGCCCCACATCCATAGGGACCCTTCCGGCCCACCGGCCCAGCAGAGCCAGCACTCCCACCCGCTCCCTGCTCGGCCCCCACAATTTTCGCTCTGCAGGACCACGCAGCCCTGACCACTCCCTTCCAGGGGGGATAGACACATAAACCCTATGGGGCGCACGCAGTTCTACTCTGGAACTGTGGCCTACCAGGACACCCAGCTGACCCAACGGCAGTGGTTTGGGGGGCCAACTTGGAGCAGTGGGAACTGGGGTTACTCACCCCAACCAAGGGGCTTTTCCCAGGCCCACTTGGGAGGAGGGGTCCATCCCCCACCAGAGGGGAGACCTCAGGGAGAACAGGGCTGGCCTGGGAGGGCAGAGAGTGAGGTTCCTTCTGGAATGATCCACTGGCCAACCAGCTGCGTGGACGGGGGTGGTGGGGAGCTTCATTCAGCCTTGCAGGCACACTATGCCAAGGAGCAGGAATGGGTGGGCTGGGCCACTGAGGTCACGGGCCACCGGACAGCCTCATGCCCTCGTCCAGGGTGAGACCAGCCCAGCCTGGGTGGAGGGGCTGTGCAGTGGACATGCCCCCAGGGGCTGGGCCTGCAGTCCGAGGACTCAGCACGGGGTTCAGGTCTCATGAGGTCATCCTGTGGGGTACAGCGGGTCCAGGGTCTCTGCTGTGACCAGCCCAATGGGGGGAAAGACCTCCGAGACAGGGCCAGCCCATCGAGGGTGTCCTAGCAGGGCTGGCTGGGCCCAAGTCACACACTGACCGTGGCCCCGCCATGGCCCCGCCTCAGAGTGGGTGGTGTGTCCCCCACGCATGTCTCTCAGGGGCGGCTCACTGAGCGCTCGTTCACAGGCCCTGACTTTCCTTGCATTTCTTCTCTCTGTGACTCAGGTGAGCGGTCAGGGCGCTGTCGGTCAGTCTCCCGCCCAGCAGCTCAGACTCTCCGTGCCCACGTCCTCCCTACTCCCTGTTTCCATTCCTCCTCTTTCCTGGCCCTTGTGAACTTTGACCTTGGGCCAGGACTGCCCTTCCAATGGACGGCAGACGGTTGATTTTTCTCAGGGGTGCCCCCCTTCCTGATGTCATCTCCTTACAGGTCTGTCTGTCTGTCTGGAGGAAAATTGAACCATTGGGTGAGCTCAGGTGCAGGCCTGAAGGGTGGCCGAAGCCATCATCTCAGGACCCAGGCCTATCTTTTTACAGGGGCCCCAGTGGCCTAGTGGCTTCGTGTTGGTCTGTTCACCGCAAGGTCAGCAGTTCGAAACCACCAGCCCCTCTGGGGAGAAAGACGAGGCTTTCTCCCGGATGGAGTGACCGTCTCAGAAACCCACGGGGACAGTTAGTTCTGCCCTGCTGCTGTGCATTGACATCGCCGTGATGGCAGTGAGCTGCGTGGCCTTGAGCCTCCAGCCTTTGGCTGAGCGGCCGAGCTGGGTCACCACCTGCCCCTGCACCCTGCCGTTCCCACCCACAGCCTCGCCACTGCAGGCCCCGGCAGTGACCAAAAAAACGGTGTGGGCACATGCTCACGGTGCCCACATGTACAACAGAGCTATTCACAGCCAGGGTCCTGTCTGCCCCCCACCTGGGGGTCCCGGGGAGGGGGAACCCACGCCGCTGTTGTGGCCATCGAGTTGACCCTCATCTCATGTCCATTGGCCCGGCCATGCTGCCGGGGGTCTCACCCCTCTCTGTCGGCGCGTCTTCCCCAGTGACACTGAACTCAGGGCAGAGAAGTCTTCTTGAGACTCAGTTCGCGCTGCTGGCGTGGTCCCGCTGGCCCGTGGGCGTTTCGTGTGTGTTTGTCCATATGGCCCAGGGTAGTGTTCAGATGCATCATATCTGCTTTAGTCTCCCTTCACCGTCCAGTGCGTAGGGGGACCTCGCACGTAAAAGGCCCCGGCTTGGGCCTGGGCACCTGGCTCGTCACAATTATGCAGGTGACATTGGACATGACACACCAGGCAAGCAAGTGGTTGGGGAAGCACCACGGGGGGCTAACGTCAGAGGGGCTGCAGATACGCCCCCATCTCCCTCGGCTAGACTCCCGCCACCCAGCAGCTCTGAGCCAGCCAGGAGCCCCTCCTGGGCGAGTCCCATGTGTGCATCCCTGGAAGTTGCACTGTGATTGAATCCCCGCCAGTGTCGTTGGAGTGGACGGCTCCTTTATGCTGCAGTCCCACGTGGGACCCTGCATGAGGCAGTGGGAGGTAGGCAGTGGACACCATTGGCTCCCAGCAGGAAGAGACAGGGGCGCCATGCAAGCCCGGCCCTCGGGGGCAGGTGGGGGGCTTCCTTTCCCAGCCCGGCTGCCGTCCACACAGCACGAGAGCCCAGGACTCCCAGCAGAGCCTCCTAGCTTCCAGGTAGAGGTGCTGAGACAAGTCCTAGGACTGAGCACTTCCCCTGGGGACCCCCGGCATCCCGGGGCATCTGCTGACCGGCCCCCTTGTTGCAGCTGGAGCCCCAGGCGCTGCAGGAGAAAGACTGGCAGAGAACCGTGATCGTCATGAATGGGGTATGTAGTCGCCCCTGGGGGGCTGGGGGTGCGGCTGAACCCGGGCTGGTGAGCCCTGACACGGGTCCTGAGATCTGCCTATAGAGACCAACCCCCCAAGGATGCCTGGTCCCCCCCAGAAAGTTAGGCCTTTATAAAAGCAGCAAGAGACACAAGGAAATTCGACTAACAGGATTCACGAGGGGGACACGCCAGTGAGACAGAGAGAGTTACTTGAGGGGACCAGCTCAGGTGACGCATGCGGGGCCAGCAAGGCCCCCCATCTGTCGACCAGGTGACAGGAAGGAGGGGTGGGAAGTGAGGACATGAGACCTCACTCAACGCCCTGCTGTAAGGTGACTGCATTGCCGTAGAGGGCGTTTTGTAAGGTGACTACAATGTATCCACATTACGTGACATTGTATCAGATTAGGGACATGGATTACATTGCATCGTATCCTATGACATTATGGAAGGTGATGACATCACATCGCACCAGCTGACACTGGGGAATGTGATTACGTTATACAGCAAACCACTGCCAACCACAGCCCAGCCAAGCTGGCGTCTGAAAGTAACCCTCACCACGGGTTTTTGTTGTGATAATCTCCGTACTTTAGCTTTCATATTTGTTTTTTTATTAAGGGAGAAAGGTGGGGTTGTGGGGGTGTGCCACAGAAGCCAGGTCTCACACCACCCCAGGCAGGCTGGTGCTCACTGTGCTGGCCCACCCGCCACCCCCTCTGCCCCGGGGCACCAGGCTCCAGGCCAGCGGGCGAGTGTGCGAGCCCTGCCCCTTCTCTCCCGGCAGATTGAAGTGAAACTCTCCATGAAGTTCACCAGCCGGGAGTTCAGCTTGAAGAGGATGCCATCTCGCAAGCAGACAGGTGTCTTTGGGGTCAAGATCGCAGTAGTCACCAAGTGAGTGGTGGGCAGGGATGGGCCCACCCCTCTGGCCTTGCTTCCTGAGGGCACCCGCCCAGGGGCCCAATTCTGTGGTTGCCATGGGGGGCTGGGTGGGGGTCTGACAGGACACCCCTTCCCTGCTCAATAGTAGCCCTGCCTCAGCCGGCTGGGGGTGAGACAGCACGTCCATTCTGCCCTCCGAGCCTGCAGGGACCCCGACATCAGCCCCTACCCCGACATCAGCCCCATGCCCCTTTGTTCTACATCAGAGACACCGGTTTCAGGATGCAAAAGAGACCCCAATCTGAAATATAATTTAAAGAGAACAGTTATTAAGTCCCACAGGGCCCAAGAGAACACGGAAACAAACTCCCTCCTGGGTGAGAGGGGCCGTCAGCACAAGGTCCGAATGGAACCCCAGAATTCAGTCAGGCCACCAGTTCCATAAGGCTCGGCACAAAGGGAACGTCACAGAAACATGCTTCGTGGCAGTTCGGCCCGTCTCCGTTATAGGTGGGACTATAGGGGCAGGAACCCAGGCCATGATTGGACACCTATATTGCCAGAGAGAAGACCTCACAAGATTGGTCCAGGGCTTTCTGACCAAGGCAGTTAGGACGAGACTGATAGGGCTTGACTCATGAGTATGTGGCCCCCGATCGGTGACCTCCTTCAAGAACACACCTAGGCAAGCCCCTAAGAGAGAGTCTGCCCCTACCTGGGCTGACTAGAGACGAGTGGAGACGATCTACCTTCTAGTACATTCTGCCCGAGGGCAAGATTACCATATAGCCTTGGTCAATGCTCACAGGGAGCTCCAAGGAGCTTGATCTATGTGGGGAGCTTGCAGGTGGATGTTGAGCTGTCAAAATAACCATCCAAGGCCCTTTGTAAACCGGGGTGTTCAGAATTTAAGCCCCTGGGAGGCTCTGGCCACAAACAGCGAGAACTTGGTCAGCTGCTCCCTCGAATGTGACCAAACTAAAGGGCAGCTGAGGAAGCCTATCTGTGTTCCCATGAAAGCTGAGGGATCCTGCACACCCCGTGCTGGGCTGCTCGCAGCAAGGTCAGCAGAGTAAGCCCAGCGCAGGAGAAAGGCGGGGCTGTCCGCTCCATAAAGCCCGGGAGAAGGGCTGTTTTGTAAGGTTGCTGAGAGTTGGAATCAACCCCACGGCAGTGAGTTTGGGGGGAACAGGGAGCTGGACTCGCTGGCAGTGCAGGCAGTTAACACGCTTGGCTGCTAACAGAAAGGACAGAGGCCCCAGTCTTCCCAGACCTGCTTGGAAGAAAGGTGCTGAC